GCTTACGCAGCGACCAGGTTTGTGATGAATACGTTAGGACAGAAAGCACCTTTGAGTCCAAAATGGAAATGGATTCGGGTGTTCCTTGTTCTCTTCACTACATACTCGATGCTCTTGAAAGCTTCCCAAGCCGCTCGTTTCCTTCTGCTCAGTTCTGGAGCTAAGTCGTTCATTATATTGATTTCCCGACCTAGGTATAACTGGAGTGTTCAAAGATATTCGTTGCGTTGAGCGTGAACGGGGCATACGAAACCAATCCGTTCCTCATGAACATCGTTTTTGTGAGATTTAGTCGATGACCCATCTTTCCACAGGTACTATCAAAGTCGGCAAGCATACGTTCCGCTTGGCTAATGTTTGGTGTTATAAGGACGATGTCATTAGCAAAGCGGAGATGATGTAACTGTAGACCATTGATTTTCACTCCCATATTATCCCATTCCAATGCGCGCATGACGTTTTGGAGGGTGGCGTTAAGTAATTTTGACGAGATGGTGTCTCCTTGCCTAACTCCTCTTTTGCCGTCAATGTTAATATCGTTGTAGTATGGTGATATCTTGGTTGTGAAATTTTTGTACAGTTCATGAAGAATCTTTATGTACTGAGTAGGGACTCCTTGACTATCAAGGGCTTTCATGACGCTTCTATCTCATTTGAATCAAAGGCCTTCTGTAAATCAATGAAAGTGAGAGAGAGCGGTCTTCTGTGCTCTCGCGACACTTCAGTGAGTCTTGTTGTCGTGTGGCTGTTGTCCATCGTACTAAATCCTTTTCGAAACCCTGTTTGGTCACATTGCTGTCCTTCGTCCAGTGTTGTGTCAATTCTGTTTAGGATGACTCGAGTGAAAAATTTGTTGACGACAGACGACAAGCAGATTGGGCGATAGTTGACGATATTGTGTAGGTCACCGTTCTTGAACAGTAACATGGTCTTGCTGGTCTTCCACTGAGTGGGGACCTTGCATTCAGACAGGTAACGTGTGAAGAGCCGAGCGAGTGTGTTTACAAGGACTGGCGGAAGGTTCTTCGCGTATTATGGTCTTGTTCTGTCCCAACCTGGTGCTGTTCGATTTTTCCCCGACAAAATGGCATATGAGATTTCGGAAGGGAGAATCGGTGGTGCAACATATCCATTCTCCTTAATTTCACATAACGGAAGGTGGATGTGGCTATTAGAGAGATCCGAGTAGTATTTGTGAATGATTTTCTCCATTGCCTGTGTTCCGTCTGGGCGTCGGAGTGTAATCGTCTTGGTTTTATAATTGGTTAAGCTTCAGTGGGCTTTACGAATGCTTTTCCCTGTCTCTGCAGCTTCGACCATCACTGTTGTTCTTCTCTTTTTAAGTTCTTTTATCGCCTTTCTGCATTGTTTTACAAGTTCGGACGTTAGTTCGCGGTTGCCTGCAGCTCGTGTGATTCCACGCTGGCGTTTCTCGAGTGTTTCTGGAGACAGACGTCTCTTGGTGACTTTCGAACTCTCAGCTTTTATAGAGCTAACGTGAAGATGTTGAATGAGCCGATCGTATTCTTCGTCGATGTTATCGACAACAGCATCTTCCCAACATCCGACTAATGAATTGAATAAGTCTCAGTTTACGGTGGTTCTGGGACTTCAGTTTTTGGATTTGGCGGTTTTTTCTCCTTTTCGCGAGAAATAGAATCTTGCACGAAGGAGGCGGTGCTCTGGTCGCGTGTAAAATTTTGGGACAACGGGGCCATCGGTTAGGCGAAACCTTCTATTTACTATAATGTGGCCTCTTTCGTTATGGAGACTCTTGGGAGACTCCCACGTCCAGCGTTGGAGGTGGGGCTTCTGGAATTGCAAGTTACTACGGACGATCTTGGTCGCCGTGATAAACTCAGATAGCCGCTCACCCTGTTCGATCCATTCTAATCCGTTGGTCTTAATGTGAAATTCTCCAGACGTTCTTCTTGGTCCAATTTTAGCGTTAAAATCCCCAATGATAACCTTGAAGAATATATGATCTTCTCTGTAGAACCTCTCCATGTCCATATAGAACGCGTCGACTTGTTCTTCGTCATAGTTTAATGTCGGCGGGTAAACGACAAAGATTATCAAAGTCGGAATTGATCTACATGTTGTTAATCGTAAGCGTCCGATATGGGTTGTAAGCTGTTTGAATGAATCGATGTTCATGGGTAAACTCGTGTTGAGAACGCCGACGCCACCGGCTCTTCTACTGTCGCATATTCCGAGGAACAGTTCTTCTCCGGTGTTATAGGCGGTGTTGAAAAAGTGGTGTCTTCTCGTCTGGGCCTGGTCGGTGACGTCGTACCTTATCCTTCTTGTTTGCATGAGCAATTCTTCTACCGAGGACTCAAATGCAAGTGTATGTGCATTGTAGGTACAGATCGTCACTATAGTTCTTCGTAATCCAGGCAGCTTCCATTGGCCCTGAGATTTTAGCAGCCTCTCCGTACTCGTTCTACCCAACGCTACAAAATTGGGGCTCTTTCGGGGTCAGGGCAATGAGGCCTGTTTTTTTTTTATACTGTGTTTAACACTTTTGATACCCATGTATAGCTTGTTGGGCTCTGATCGTGGAGGCTGAGTATACTCACGGGTAGCTTGCAATTACCAGGCTCTCCCAGAGTGGACATGGAGCTTATTTGTTGAAGGTGACTCCTAACCGCCACCGATATACTTCACTTAATTGCAGACTTTTGGCCGAATTGTCTCCTAGAATACAATTCGCATAAGCGAGAACGCACCCACAGACGCATGCATGCATACGCCTAGCAAATACAGAAAGTGTGTGCCAAATCGGCGCAGCAGAAACACGGAGTCCATCCCTTGGATCCACCTGGTTCTCAGGGAAACGAAGGTCAGTTTTGGTCCGCGGTTAACCCTCTATAGACCACCTGGGGACGCGCCACGTAGCGTCGAGTCTAACCGGCTCGAGATCCCTCATATGAGGTAATCAAAGTAATCGCTGAACAAATCAACACTGGCTTACACAATGTGGAGTCGAGGTAAAAAATTGCTTCACTTTGGTTTTGAGGGTCTGACTCCTTGGTCCAACCTAACCCATTCAAATTGTTACTGCAAGCGTCTTGCCTATAATAAGTTGAATTCAATGCAGATTGGGATTGCTTTCCACTAGTTCTTCGAGCCCTCGCAACGGTTTACCGCGTCATCTTGGCAGGAATGCGTTCCTGGTTGTGGAACTGAGATATACAGCATGAAATTTATCCCTCAGCAGAGTCTCCCAGGCTGAGAAAGAGTCCGGTGTTTCCATCAGGAAGTCCAGGTAGGAGTAAACCAATACCAGTATCCTCCGCCGCCGTGGTATCCAACTAGTCCCATAGTGGCAAATCTTCCCTTGATCCACGAGGGCGGCGACTGCCTGTGGTGATAACGACCTGGTGCACACTTTCGCCAGGCTGATCTCGGGACTCCAGGGGACCACAATAGTTAAGCCAGCAAAACCCCGAAAAATGGAGGTTTTGCATGGACCCACACAACCAGTAAGGATGGGCCATCAAAGTTTTAAGGTATCAAGTTTTTCGAGGTAAAGCGCAATAGCTCCAAGAAAATTGTTGTGATTCTTGAACCATACTTTTCACCAGGGAAGTTTCTCACCGATTGAAATTAGTTTGATTACAGTCAAGCAATATTCCTTCAAAAATTTGATTCTCTGACAGAATTTCTCTGGCGTTTTCCTAATCAATACTTTTTTTAAAATGTGTGACCGAAGCGATTTTCTGTATTTCTTGGTAAAGTCAGCACAGTGTTAGGAAGGGGGTCGGAACCATTCTTGTCGTCATCTTCTTCCTAGTCATGCAGTCAGTTCTAGTCGTTGTTTATGAGTTTTGTCTTATTCATTAGTGAAACCTCACATTTTCTGCTGTAATAAAAGCAGTTTTGCTGTTTTCTCTATTTTCTTGCTAACCATTTTCTTTATTCACGCATTAAATGAATATGTGTTGAAACTTAGAACGTCGTTTCTTTCTTTTTAAAGCCACAGATCCCGTTCCACTGCAAACACTCTAAGGGTCGAGTTTAAAGCGAAAGGCGTAAGATAGATGACTTAGCCATTAATCGTTCTTAGAGCAGCGGTAAGCTTGAAGCAGTGTAACGTATAAAAAGCAGTAAAGTATCATGAATCAGTCAAACTATTAACTTTCAGGTTGTACTTGAGCATTATTCTCGGCAACAATATCGACTTGACAATGACAAGTACTGAAAGGTAAACTTTCAGAGCATGTTACTAGTCCTGCGCTTGGATTTTGAACTAATGCTTATCTTTGTCGTCCAGGTTCTACTTCAAAAAGGACTACGAGAAGTTCAAATTGCGTTTCACACTGTTCAATCTGTTCCCGTTGGCGATTGCCTTCATATTTCCATCGAGGTATTGGTGTTTTCCTCTTGTTTCGTTTCCGATCTTTCACTTTAAACTCTTAACTGTTGGCTAGTTGTTTTTATCTTCGCAAATTCTGCTGAGCAGTGGATGTAAGCATATGTGCAGTAGAAATTATAGAGCTAGAAACTCTACTCAAGAAGGAGATTATTTTCTTTCTTACTTACATGAAACCCTTTGGCGGTTAGGAGTATGGGTATGAAAACCTATTAAAGTAATAAATATTTGGATTCTTGAATGGTCTATCTTCACTTTGCTAATGTAATGGTCGGACAAGATTTTCTTTTCCTAATGTGTCAAGAGAGCCGTGATAGGACCTCCCAAGTCGTCATCACAGGCCGTCGTCAGCCCTTGAGGATTTGGTCGAGATTTGCCACTTTGTTGCTAATAGGACGGTAGTGGTTCCTGCCCTCATCCGGGATTTCGGTTGGAATGTCGAAATCCTCTAATTGCGAGTCTTCATTAGGAGATGTAACCAGTGCGTACTTCCCAGTTTGCCACCTATGAGCATACATCAGCTACCATGCTGTGCGGAATCATCGGGAGAGTAATAATTAATTAGGTGGTTAATTAAACTAAAGTGAAGACTGAGCGATTGGGAAGACTTGAAGGAAGGAAATTGAATCGCTTCTGACACTTAGTTAAGCAGGAAGGTGCTATTTTCGTCCTACTTTTATGTCTTTGGCTGGCTTAAGAACACTCAATTTTTCAGACCGATGGACTCCATTTGTCACTTTTTGATGGTTTGGTACTACTGCACACTCACCATTCGAGAGAGCATTCTTATCCTCAACGGATCCAAGTACGATAGTTTTTGCTCTAGAAATTCTTTAGATGTAGTAATTTCCTGTTTAACTGTAGTTGGTGTAGTCGTTTTGTTTATTTGATTAATCTATGTGTACTGTTTTAGCTCAACATTTCATGTTTGGTTTTCTGTTTTTAATTGTTGAGTAAGGATATATTATATCCTGTTGTTGATTTGAAGGTTAGGATCGTGGTGGGTGGCTCATCACTATCTTGCCTGTGTAATCGGTGGTGTGGCGCTTACATGGCCAGATGATGCTTCTTACCAGGTTGGTTAAACTTTGTCTTCTGAGATTATATCTAGTGTCTTTGACTTCTTTCTTGGTAGTACCAAGCTCATTATACCCGGGTTCTAGTGCTGTTCGATTTCAAAAACTGGGAACTAGTTTTCTTGGAACCGTTCGAAATGGCATCAATTCCCAAGAGACCTCTGAAATCGGTTAAGACAGACTCCTTATCGAATTCTATGAGCATAAGATTCCAGTTTTATGTTGTCCTTTCAAAACTTCTTGTTGCTTTCAACTTTTTCAAATTTATGTCCTTGGTTATCTTCTCCTCCCAACGGTTTACCGGCTCGTTGTGGCTGGGAGGTGTTCCTCGGTGTCGTGCTGCGATACACAGTGGGGAGGTTCATCTCTCTCTTCCATCCGGAATCGCAGCTAAGATTAAACCGATAACACGGTTAGTCACCGTCCTGGTACCAAACTAGTCGCATGGTGGTAAATCTCCCTTTGATCCACAAGGGCTGCGACTGCGACGACGACCTAGGGCAGACTTTGGCCTGGCTAACCTCGGGACTCCAGGGAACCGAAGTAGCTAAATCAGCAGAACTTCGAAAAAGGAAGATTATGCTGGGGCCCGCACAACCAGCGAGGACGGACCATCCAATATGAACTATAAGGTTGTCTCCTAGTCTTTCATCCTTAAACAAGCAGTTTTCTCTCGGTTCATAGCGAACTTCATTTGTTCAAGTGAGAACGACTATGTTTGTAGTTCATAATGAATTTCTTGATCTTCCCAATTTTCCAGATGTTCCACACTCAGTTTCTGCTCTTCGCCGTCTATATCTGTCTTCTACAGCAGCTACAGTACCAGTATCAAAGTGGTTGTCTCCGTCGACTGCATTCATTGGGACACGGTGACTCAATGGATGTAACATTAGGTAAGTGAGGAATTGATTCCGATAAGAGAATATCAGAAACGTTTAATATTGCTCTATATACTTCTACGATACATGTTAAAAGATAGAAGTCAAAGCGTCCGTCATTGATCAAACTGTTAAAAATGCGCCATGCACTTGACTCCATTGCGTATCTAGAGATGATGGAACAACATATCTTATGTTTCAATATATTTATATTATGTTTACATCATATTCTACATTTTAACATGTTTCACCCATGGCGTTGTCCTAGCAATACGTCGAATCAGTGCTGCTATCTCAGACAAGTATAGTACCAATTTATGGAGAATTGAGAGGAGAACGGTGAGTCTGGTGAGAACGAACCAACGATTAGCGTGTATTGTGAAAAATCTCTAACTGCTGCGCTACTTGCGTCCATACGATATTTCGTACAAAAGTTAGAAGCTAATAAGGAAGGTATCTCACCATAATCCAATGAGCGCTGCTGAGGACAAGATCACTGAAACATGGCCTCATCATCGTTTAAAAAGAATTCTTTTCCGGTGACTTAAATGAATATTGTGGCTGTTCGTAATCGATTACTCATTACTTGAATATTCGGTTACTCTAGAAGCGAAAGTGTTGCAGTCTTTCTGTGCTTACCAATTATCTTTTTTGATGGCTTCATTACTAAGTGTCCAAATGAACTCATATTTCCATTATTTCATGGCACTTACCGACCTTCTGGAGTCGAATACTGAGGCAAAAACGTTTAGCGTTTTTTTGGATATTCAGTTATTCGAGCAATATAGCTGCATGGATAACAATGTTGTTATTGATTTTAAGTGAGAGAAGTATTTTTCATCTCTAAGAGTATCCGTTGGGGTTTAACCTGGACATTAGACAAGCAGGATCTTTTCCTTGCGAAGGAAACAAAGACACTCAAACTACAACCTGAATGATATAAATGATGAGTGATAAACGGCCTCAATTACGCAGAAATTTCCTTAGGGAGGAATCTCGAGCGCAGAACAGTTGAACTCTACCTCTTTCCTAAAATTCAGAACTATTGATTGTTCATACACATTTCTTTGACTCCATTCCTCCAAACACCGACATAGTTCGATTGCTCTGAAGGATTCCTTCATCTTAAGGTCAAGTCTGGTACCTTAATCGAATTTTGTTTTGATATCATTAGCAGAGTGACTTGCCGATGGTACTTGTAAGACTTTAAAATCCACAATTATAGAAGGATTCGCCACATGGATGTTTCACGGTCTCACATTCCTTTTACCTTTCCTGGCTGTAATGTATATGCTCGAACTCTTCAACTCTTACACTTTATATTGCATCTGGAGGGATCAGGGAAGCGTTTGGCAGGTTGGTAAAGTTTCTCTTCTCATAGGATATTAACGAGTGGGTGGATAAGGAGACCACTTTGGGTGGGTGTAAAAGCATCCATGTGGGAAACAAATAATCTCCGCTTTGAGTCACCACTAGATTATGAGAGTAAATTTTGAGTTGAAAGCAGTCGTCGATAAGATCTCGTGGATAAACCTTCGAAGATAGAGCAAATTTCCGAGTTGAAAATAGAAGTCTTGACTACAGCAACTTTCTGGCATCCATATTGCGTAATAACAAAAAGGTTCCGAACAAAATCATTTCATAACAACCAGACAAAACAAGGCAAGGCTTAAGCCAAGGCTGCAAGCTAGTTTTACGACTTCAAAGCTGCGCTGAAAATGAATTAGTTCATCGAATACGAAGCTCGGATGGCATGTGCACCACCATTAAGAAGTTGCTACGGAAGAGAAGAAAGCGGCTTAACCACCCAATAACACTCCGTTCAATCATAGATGTCACGTGCAGAAGATCTTGTGTTGCATTTTTGTCAAAACCTCTCATAAATTGATGGCGAAAAAATCCTTTACCTCTTTCCTTTTCCACAATACCCATCTCAGATCCCAAAATCTGAAAAAGAAAACCATCCAGGATTTGATTCTTAGTCTGAAGTTCGAGTTGCGATAAGAAACATAATGAAAGCCACAGCTCCAAGGCCCAATCAAAACACAGCCGACTTCATTCGAGCCGGAAACCGTAGACTCCGTGTGCTTCCTGTAATCCGTAAGACTTGCTTTCAAAATGAAAATGTACCAAACTGGTAGAGGGCATCGCGTCCAGTGATCCTTTTTTTTCTATCGCCCGTGCACTGTCCTCATAGGAAGTGTATGACGACGAGACACTATCTCGGTAAAGCTGTTTGTCGCCATACTACAGTGAATAATGAGGTAGTTTCATTATGAGGATAAAAGTACTCGTATTTCTGGCAAATTCCCACTAGTTTTCATTTTTCTGGCAAATCACCATATTTTTAGGAGTATCAGAGAATCACCGGTATCTTCAATAGGTTCAACGGGGAAAAAAGTATTGACTAAAGTATAAATTGAAAAAATGTGTTTGTTCGAAGATGAAGAATATGAACTGGATGGATCGTAAACCACCAAGCGTACCTCGTACGTGTTCGTGTAGTGGCTGGGGAGAACATGAAGAAGAAGTAATGTGGACGAATATGAACGGCATGGAGTGTGTTCGAGCTTCTCGCTATACTTACTGACTACCTAAGCGACCACTCGAAATTGCGAACTCAGATATTCAATTTAGAGGTCCTCGCCACATTCTGCTATGAGGAGAAGGCGTAATTTTACATTTGATTCACATCGAGGATTCTGCTCAATCCCGTAATGCACGTATCACTAGATAGCTAGATGGACCAGTCGCATACCAAAAAAAGTTGGTGAAAGATGACCGAGAACGTTAATGGAATGAATTCGAAGAGGATATAAGCGGAAATCTGTACAGGACTTGTCCGGGAAAAATCACTCTCTGCAATCCAATTGGGAACGCTCCAGCCCGGCTATCTCAGGACTCCAAAGAGAATCGACTCGACTAGCATTCTACGACATTCAAGATGAAATGAAAATCTTCAGGCAACAACCGAAACCATCTAAGGAAGTTGGAAGACTTTACTGGGTGATGGATGCGTGGAAAGGAATCGAATGTGAAAAGTGATGGGATCCGCCCAATAGGTATGAAAACGGTTATATAAAAGGAAATTTTAAAAAACTGAAACTGGGTGATTTGAATTTAGAAAAAACTCTTACACATAGGCAGAAGTTGACTATCGATTTGATCACTAAGGTTCCTGCTCTGTCGATGCTGTTCTTCGTCGTCGGTGTCGGTAACATCGCCATGGTATCTCACATCGTTATCCAAAAGATGAAGGAGAATGCAACGTCACGTGTGAAGAATATTCTTCGAAAATACCCATCCATGGCTAAAATACAGTAACCCGCCAGTTACTCCATCTTGCGGTCGTTTGTTATTGATCGATGCGATGTGGTTTTATGTCGTTAGTCAATCAGCTTTAGCTCTACGCGTCTAGCGCTTTGTGCTTAGCATAGTGAGCCGACCTATAGTGACACATTCCCAGACATCCTTTGTGTCTACTTTATATTAGTTGTTTTATTATGTTTATTTTCTCCTCATCTCATCTTTTACTGTTCAATTACATCTACACTTCATTTTTATCCTTTTGTTCAACGTTTGCTTAGGACGGGTTTGTTCATAAAGCTTTCATAAAGCACTGAGACAACACATCGTCGTACTTTTCTGTACAAATAAAAAAGTGCTTGTTCAATTACTCACATTCGTCTGGGAGATTTCCAACATCAAACTATGGACCCCATTGTAATGCAATACAACCAGCGCCATAATATATAATGGTTAACACATCTTCACGTTGTAGGCTGCGGCACACAGTTACCGGGTTAACTGTTCACTTTAATCGGCATTGAGACTGAACCCACCTTAATTGAGGCTAGGCAGTCTGTGAATCATTTTTGTCTAAATGGCAACAAGATCAGTCCTGTTCGATTTTGTTAGTTGCTGATGCTGAGAATTATGCCGCTGAAATCGCCCTCTCACCTAGTGAGCCAAGTCTTCCAGGTTTTTTCTGAAACTCTTAAGCTAAAACTTAAGTTTAGTCGCAATTCATCAGCAGGACAAAATCCTAAGGTTGCAGCCGCACCCACACACATTGGGAGCAACATGCATTTCTTCAGTGATAAGCTAACAGGACGTTGATAAACAACTTTGCACGGCCAACGTTTCGACTTCGTCTTCTTCAGAGCCGATGGTCTGAGTCGATGGTCCACAGTCGTCTGCACTCTCGAAGTATCGAGAGGCCTTCGTAATAATGAAATGAGCATTGGATTTGGAGAGTATGCGGTCACGGCTATATAAGTAAATAGAAAAAAAAATAGATTTCTCGTTTATGGCAAGTTTTTCTTCGTTTTTCCTCAGGACTTGCGCAATTCGAAAGTGGTATTTTATTTTCCAGACACTTCTATCAAATTAGAAGTTTGATGTCTCGGTAGATAAGAATCAGTAGAGACAGTGGCAATGCCGACCATTGTTAAATAATAATCGAAATGCCTATGAGGTATGGTGGTGATGCCTTGCCTTCTAAACAAAACTTTCCAATCACACTGGAACTTGGAAATTTCCAATTAGCAACTAGTTGGTCTTCGACGGCAAATGGATTGCGTTTATTGCTAGTTGTAGACCATTTCCAAACAGCAACAATGTTTAGATGTTTGTGCTGGTCAGATTCAGACCGATATATTATCGTGTTATCAGCAAAAGCACATGAAGACGTGAAGCATCTAAGAAGGATTAAGTGCACAGCATATAGCTTATACCCACATTTTAGCGACACGAAATCGCGACCGTAGCTCGGAAATCGCCTCCATTCGTTGCAGGAGCGGCCAACAATGATCGACAGATATTCTTTCAGACTTATAGGAAATACGAGCCATTATGTCACGTACACTTGCATCTGAGTCCTCGGTAGGAGACTTGCTCATGCAAGCAAGAAGGGTAAGGTACGACGTCATCGACCTGGCCGAGACGATACGACGCCACCCTCCAACGCCGTCTACGACACCGGAGAAGAACTGAATATGCGACAGTAGAAGTCTCGGCGGCGTCGACGTTCTCAACACGAGTTTGCCCATGAACATCGATTCATTCTAAGAGCTTACAACCCAAATCGGACGTTTACGATTAAAAAGACATGGATCAATTCCGGCTTTGACAATCTTCGTCGTTTACGTGCCGACAACAAACTATGACGACGAAGAAGTCGAAGCGTTCTATATGGACTTGGAGAAGTTCTACAGAGAAGGCCATACATTCTTAAAGATCATCAATAGAGATTTCAACGCTAAAATTGGACCAAGAAGAACGTCTGAAGAACGTCACATTGGGACCCAAGGAGTAGAACAGAAAGAGCAGAGTGCGCGGATGTCTGAGTTTGTCACGACGACCAAGACCATTCATGGTAACTTGCAATTGCAGACGCCCCAACCTCAACGCTGGACGTGGGAGTCTCCCAATAAAGAGTGTCATAACAAAATAGACTACATCGTAGTAAATAGAAGGTTTTACCTAACCCATGTTGTGTTGCCCCAAAACACTACATAGGATCAAGCGGGGCCTTTTTAGCATAAAACTATATTTCTCACGGAAATGGATGAAAGGAGCTAAATTCTAAAGACGAAGTCCGAAACCACTACAAACTGGGATTTATTCAATTCATTAGTCGGTTGTTGCGAGGATTCCGTTCTCGATAACATCGACGAGGAATACGATCGGTCATTGAACATCTTGACGTTAACGCTATAACAGCTGAGAGTGCGAAAATCACCAAGAGTCCCTTGTCTCCAAAAATACTCAAGCTAGTAGTGTGGAATCGCAGAAGCTAGAAGTAGCCGCGAACTCGCGTCCAAGCATGCAAAATAATGTAGGCAGGTGAAAGAAAGATCATCAACAGAGAAGAGCAGCAGCTATGGTCGAGAGTGCGGAGGTTGGAGAAAGCATTCTCAAAGTCCACCGAGGCTTCGCCAATTACAAGATCGAGATGACTGCACTCCAACGCCCAGACGGAACAGTTACAGCGTCCAGAAAGGCAATGGAGAAAATCATTCACGAAAACTACTCAGATCTCTTCGACAGCCACGTCCACCTTCCGTCATATGAAATAAGGGAGGATGGATATGTTGTACCACCGGCTCTCCGGTTGTTCAAAAAGATTCACCACCATTATATCGGCAGCTATCGCACAATCTGCTTACTGTCTCATTACAGTCGCACTTGTAACAGCACAGCTCCGAGGACGAAATCGCAGAAACGTTATCCGTCGACCAGCAAGACCTATAAGAAGCACAGCGACAACAATAATAACAACAACAACAACAACAACAACAACAACAACGAAATGCTTACTGTCTGTCGTCTACAAACTTTTCACTCGATACATTCTAAAAGATTCACTGGATTACCGCGAGGGTACA